ACAGAGATAATCCAATGGCACACCGAAACACAAAACAAAAGCGGTCATCCTGACCCAATGCACTTACTATGATACAAAATCCATAAGAGAGACCAGAAAAAAACTACACCGGATTCTTAAGGGTGTGCTGTCATCAGAGAGTCACTTCTTTAGACTCCATGGTGTGTGGACATGTGCACACACGGACACACGTGTGGAGCTGTAGAGAATCCCATGCGGGGACGGTATCCTCAGCAAAGGCGTGGAGAGGGTGGTGTGTGATGTGTTTCAGTGAAAGCCAGTCCCCAAGACCAAAGACAGTGAGGCAATGCTGGGATTTACAGCAGGGACAGGGAACTGTTTTATGGGGCTAGGAAATGTCTGACCTCAAGAATAGAGTCTCGACTTGAGGCTATAAATAATGAGGCACGTGTCTCCCAGAGTTTGAACGTGAAGTTCCATTAAAGTACTACTTCTTATTTAAAAACATCCTTCAATAGCTGTAGAGCATGCTTTTGGAGTTATCTTGATGGTGGTCATGGTAGGGAGTCAGTTGTAGTGGTAAGTATGGTTATGCTGGTAACAGCTGTAGTTGTGGTTATGGTTGAAGTGGTGGAGGTCATGGTAGAGGTCATGATCATGACAGTGGTGGTGGCCATAGCCATGTTCACAGTGACCGTGATCATGATTGTAGCTGGGGTGGTCATGGTCCTAGGAGCAGTGGTGCTTGCTGTCATGATGGCAGTTACGTGTTAAGATGGTGGGTGTGGTTAGGCTGTGGTTGTGGTGGTGGTGTTCACTGTAGTAGTGATAGCAGTGAGTACGGTGGTGGGGGCCGTTGTGGTGTGAGCAATTGTACTGGTCATGGTGATGGTGGTTATTATGTTCACGGAGATAGTGGTGATGATGGTGGTTGTGGTAGCCATAGTGATAATGGTGCTTACAGTGGTAGTGAGTTGTGGGAGTGATGGTCATTGTGGCAGCAGTGGTGGTGGTAGTCATGGAGGTGATGGCGGCAGTGGTAACAGTGGTCATGTTGGTCATAAATGGCGACTATGGCTTGGCTTAGGTTTTTGATTGTCTTCTCTAGGTGATGTTAAGGTTCTGATACGCCCTTGCTGGCCACAACAACGCAACATCTTCCCAGAGTAGGAAAGGGAGATGTAGGGAAGATAATCAGCTCTAACACGGTCACACATTCTACTGCGACCCCAGTAAGTCTAAGGATAAGCCCCGTGCTCTCTCTGCCATGATGTGTTGGCTCCTTGCCTGTTATTTGAGAGTCAAAGAAGCCACCCGCTCTCACAAAAATGCTAAAAATCCACTGTGTAAGGCCCTGGGACCCCCAACATTGGCTTCCCTTGACAGACACAGCTTTTCCTCACTGAAATGCTAGCAAAGAAGAAGACTGCAGAGAACCACCCAAGCTCTGGAGGGCTTCCAGCAGCCTTTCCGACCTCTTGGCCAGGCACCGTGGGCCCTGATCTGCACTGTGCTTCCCAAAAGGGGTCACGCCAGAACACTTGTTCCCAGCTTCGTTATGACACCAATTTGTCTTCTTCAACACAGCTGCTCTTCCCCAGGACACAGCCATTTCCAGTTTCCTGAGTCATATCTTTGGGCCTCTGTACCCTAAAAAATTGACCAGACTCTTCCCACTGTTTGGCTGCATCAAGGGCTTGGCCAAAGCGGGTGGAATACGCAGTAGCCAGTGGAATGTCCCCTGTGGCCCTGAGCTCCCTTTTTGGCTCTGTGATAAACTGGGTTCCAGTCAAAAGTGACCTGCCTTTTCTCTACTTCACTTTTTCTCCCTTTCATTTTTGCTGTACTTTGTTTTGGTTTGGTGTTTTTAGAGAGTTTATTTTTAAACTTACACATAGTAAAATTGACTACTTTTTGTAAACAGCTTTGAGTTTTGACAGATGCCTAGCCATGAAACCACCTCTGCTATCTGGATACGGAATAATTCCTTGCTTCTACAAAACTTCCTCTTGGTCATTCTCAACACCTACCAGCTACTAACAGTTCTCTGTCTCTGTAACTCCAGTGTCATACAGAGGGATTTCCAGTCCGGAGCCTCTCATCTAACATACAGCAATCCATGAACAATCCGTCATTGAAGAACATTTTGATTCGCACTTAAAGTGATTATGAGCAAGGTTGAAACATTTGCAAACAGGTTTGCTATAAATGCTTTTGTTTCTATTTGGTCAGGATCGGTAGGTCCTGTGCTAAGTGCATGTTTAAGAAACCTCTAAAAGTGCTTTCCAAAGCAACTCCAGAATTCTGCTTTGCCACCAGCAGTATGTGAGAGTCTGTACTGCCCTGTACTGGTGTGGGAGAATATTGCCTGTATTCTGTCGATCATGTTTTAAATAAACGCTGATTGGCCAGACAGAAAGTGTAGGCGGGAAAACCAGACAGGAAGTAGAGGTCATGCAATGAGAACAGGAGAATTCTGGAAAGGAGGAAGCTGATTCCTCCCCTTCCTGCCCAGACCACCGAGGAAGCAGGATGGCTGAAATAAATTTTAAAAAATGGGTTAATCAAGATATGAGAGTTAGCCAATAAGAGGCTAATGGGCCAATCAGCTTATAATTTATGGAGACCTATATATGATTTTCTTTGGGGCTTTCCGGCTATGGAAAACTGGACAGGACAGAAACCCCCAACAAACAAACCAGCCTTCATGTTACATGTACACTGGCACCTGGCACAGTTCCCACTGCTGATATCAGGTGGCTCCCGACCACCTGTAATTCCAGCTCCAGAGAGTTAATGGTTTCCCCAAAGTTCAGAACCATTATTTTAGAATTTGTTCTATTCTTGGCTCTTTCTGGACACGGCATCTTGGTGGCTGCTGTCAGGCTTTGGTTCTGGTGCTCGCTCTGCTTCAGCCTCCCTACTGCTGGGATTGCAAGCATCACCCCCACAGCTTGTTAGGAATTTAAATCTGGAGTCTGCGGACCCTGTGGACCATGATTCTATCTGAGTGGGGCAAGTCATTGGTTGCTTTGGTCTCCCCTCTTTGGATGCACCCACATTTCCTCCCAACTATGGCCTAGGCAGCCCACTCCAACAAGTTCTCCTTCTACCCCTTTTCTTCCCCATCAAAATCCCCAACTTGAATCCAATCACGTGAACTTCAAACAACCAGACTCCCTGTTTGTTTGGGTTTTTTTTGTTTGTTTGTTTTTTAGCAATAACCTGACTTGCCATGATTGGACCATTAAATAACAAGCATACATCCCATCTCCCCGTTAGCTACAGGAAGACTGCCAAGGATGGAGCTCTTTACTTTATGTCTTGTATGCCTGCCATGTTTTTGATGAGCAAGATTCAGAGAAGCTCTCCCCACAAATAACAGTGGGTTCGTGGACCACACTGAATTTTCTGCTTCCTTCAGGTTTCTTCCTGTGTCTGGGGGAGCTGGAGCCCTGGGGGTGCATCTTACCAGCTGCCTTTCTCAAGCGAGGAAATCATCCTTCCTTGGCTGTCAGTGCAAAGGACTTAGTTTTCCATTTTTTGTCTTTCCTAGTAAACTATAAACCTAAAACATCCTTCCCTGGTTAAGAAACCAAATAACAGATTTAAGTGTATGAAACCATCAAACATTTTAGACACACACACACACACACACACACACACACACACCTTCCAACTCATCACAGAACGAGTTCTTTGATTATCCCCTGACTGTGGCCCCATGGCTGTCCTGCACCGTCTGTTACAGGGCAGCCTCTGCCTGAGGCCATCACATCCTGGTGATCTCACAGCTGGAAGCTACAGAGTCAAGCCTCCATCCTCAGGGGAGTGCTGCAATAGCACCAGAAAGCCTCAGCAACCTGGCTCGCCTTTAGGTTCCTAGGTCCTCACTGTCTGTCTCCAAAAATTGGCCTTCAGTGTGAAGGCTCTCGTTTCTAAACGGGGCTTTGTTAGACAAGCAGCTGAATCACCTCAAATGAAAGAAGAAACAGAACCTCTGAGGAGAAGCTAAAAGCATGAATCTAGGAGGAACAAAAGCACTCCAGGAACATGGACGGCGCTGGGAATCTTTAAGACAGATACTTCATAGTAGAAGGTGATTCTGCTTGAATAGAATTCTAGGTTCAGCTGCTTCACCTCACTGTCTGAGGTTCACTCACTTTCCCAAGCCTTGGTTTCGCTATGACCCCCACCCTAGGTCCTTGTGTTTTATTCTCCCCACTCAGGAAGTGGTTCCCACAGAAGTTCTGACTTGGGAATCTCTACAGGCTGAAAATCCTTCAAGTCATACATGAAGAAATGCAAAAAGTGTCATTCTCAAGGCCAAACAAGCATCAGGCTGTGTCTTTGGACCAGGGAGCCCACTTTGATTCCTAACTTCCATTCTCCATCCATCTACCAATGCCTCCCTGCTGGAGAAGTAGCCCAGAGCATACCAGTTCCCTATGCCAACCCCAGGCAGGGTCCTACAACAAACAAAGAACAAGCCAGAGAGCCAACTGGCCTCCCAATCAGTAGACAAACGTTACTTAAGCCAAACCAGGGATGTTTGACCTACTATTCCAGATCTCGGGGCATCATGGATAAAATGAAGACAGTTGCAAGCTTACATGGGAAAAAATAAAATAAAACAAGACCCCTTTTGTCCAGCTAACATCTAAATGGAAGGTAATATTTCTCCTTCCAAGATCAACATGGATGGTATCCCTTAGTGGTAATAAAAGACCTGTGACATTAATACAAAAAAAACTATAGATATTTTAACAACCCAGTGTTGTTGCCCCAGAAATTCCAGAATGCTGTTCCTATGTAGCGCTAGTCTGACATGACAGGAGTTACTAGACCCACGAAATGAGTTCATCTGTCTGACTCATTTCTTAATATGCACATCTATTACTATATTACATTTCTAAGTCAGGGACTTTCAATAATGAATTATCCTTGGCAATCCTGAATGTCTTATTTTTAAATTAAAAAAAAATCCGAACAACTGCAACTGTCAAAAGGTTCACAATAAAAAATACTGCTAAGAACTCTTCAGTTAGAACATATGTATTTATATTTCTGCCAATCCTTCCCGGGCTATTTAATCCCCTCTGGTAGGGCCAAGCTCTGTTTAGCTGCCTTCTGCAGGAAGATATGAAGTTCGAGAGTTCATTGGTTCAGCGTGTCGCTCTTCTTACGAGTTCCCATATGGGCTTGGAGTATGAATTTCCTGTAACCAGACTGCTGCCTGCTTCAGAGTCCTCTGTGACTCAGACCTTACCTTACTGCTGAGCCCTTGCTAGGAGAAACTTAAAAGGTCTCCTGGAAGTGCAAACAGCCAAGGACTCTTACCCAATCAATTGGGAGCATTGTTGTAGCGACCTTGTTTACTTCCACAGAAATTCCTGACGCTGAGTCACTGCCAAGAGACAATTCAAAGAGACTTTTCATGTTGAATCATAAAATGACAGCAGCCTCTTCCTGGATACAATCCCCATCTCCCTCACACGGGTAGGAGCTTTCAGCTTTGCAGGCACAGTGACCTTACTCGCAGCTTCTGTCCAAGGCTCCCACAGGAACTGATGGTGTGATGGACTGAATTTCATGCGAAGTATAGAATCTAGTGACCCGCCATGTCTTCCACTTGTATATTTGAGGGTTATCATAATACCTAGAGCAAAAGATCCAGACAAGATATATTTTTTTACAAGCTATAAAATTGCTTCATAACTTTTAAATGCTCATGTGGTCCTGACAATCAAAACTGAAAAAGAATATAAAATCTAATATAAAATAATCCATGATTTCTATGTGGGAAGATTTTCTCCTGAGGAATGACAGATCCGGAAGGTCTACTTATCCCTGAAAAGATTACTCTTTCTCAATAGTATTTTCTAAACTCTGAAGATTCCTGGGGGACTGACCGAAGCCAAAAAGAGAACTTAAGTACTTGCTCAAAACAAGACTTGTTCAAATCCCAAAGGAGGCGCCTCCGACTTTACATGTTCTCTGTTAGCCTCCCGGAAATGACACTATTGTCAGACTAGCTTCTTTGGGTTCTTGAGAAATAAATAAGAAGATGTGAATTGATTTGATTTCCCATTACCTTAAAATTTTCATATTTGGCTCCAAGAGAAATGACTGCTGCGTTCTTTCCCAGGACTCTGGAGTTCTAAGGATGTTTGGTCGGATCTCTTGGCACACAGTGTTGAAAACCTACAGCGCCAAACGCTGTGCTTCCTGGATCCCTGCTTTAGTGCCTACTCCTTCAGTCTCTACATTCCCACAAAGAAACCGCTTCCTCCCTAGTTCACCTTAAGCAATATGGTGTCACGTAGTACTGAGACAAAGTCCCAAGCAGAACATTTCTTTGGTTTCCATCTTCATAAAGTCCTACTTACCTGAAAACCAAGGAGTCTCCTACTGAGATAACCTCTGTTCTCTTGTTCATGTGCCAGCCTGGTGAAAATGCCTACAGAGTGAATTCAAGATGTAGTGAATTGGGTAGTTTTTATTGTCACCTGAATACTGTGTAAGGGACAGGAGCCTCTGTGAGGAGTATTCTGGGTTGGGTTGGCTTCTGGGCTTATCTGTGAGGATTTTCTTAGTTGTGCTGATTGAGTGGGAAGACTCACTCTAAATTTGGACATCAAGTTTGGTCTGAACCCTGAACAGGGCAAAAAGAAGGAAGCCACCTGAGCATTAGCGAGCATGCATTCAATGACCAATGACCCTTGTTCCTGATGCTGGGCACTATAGAACCGCTGTAGCTATGACTACCCTTCTACAAAAGATGTGTGCCGGCTAATTTTGGTCAACTAGACACTACTGCCATCTGGGAAGAGCAATCCGAGAGGAACTGCTTCCACCAGATGGACCTATAAGCAAGTATTTGGTATAATGTGTTTTCTTGATTAACAATTGGTATGAGGGGGCCCAACCCACTACAGGTGGTGCCAACCCTGGGCAGGTGGTCCAAGTTCGTATGAAAACAAAGCTGAGCAAGCTACGGAAAGCAAGCCAGCAAGCAGCTTGGTTCCTGCCTCCAGGTACCCACTTGAGCTCCTGCCTTGACTTTGCTCAGTGATGAACCTTAACCTGTAAGCTAAACAAACCCTTTCCTCCCCGAGTTGGTGTGGTCAGTGTTTTAGCACAGTCATAGAAAGTAAACTAGGGCAGACGATCATGGTATTGCCATGGATATCTTGATTATGGTAAGGGAAATAAAACAAAGACACCCGGTGATGAAATAGCATTCTTTCTGAAGCTTCTGGCCAGCTTGTCTGGCATGCTCAGCAGCAAACAAAGACAATGTGTGCCATGGCATGCAGACACCCACACTCACACAAGAATGCACACTACACACACACACATATGCACACACACACACACACACACACACACACACACACACACACAAAGATATGTGTGTGTAAGTATGTATGTGTTATGTTGCAATGACTAGAAAATATAGTCTTAAAAATACATTAGCTGTGATCCTTTGAAGCATGACGGCTGGCTTGTTGGGGTTTCTGTCCCACCCAGTACCCCACAACCAACAAACCCCAAAGAAAATCAATCACACAGAGATATCTATAAGTTATAAAGCTGATTGGCCCATTAGGTCAGGCTTCTCATTAGTCCTTGTAATTTATATTAATCCATTATCATTATCTATGTTAGCCACATGGCTCAGTACCTTTCTCAGTGTGACAGCTCACATGTTGCCTCTTCGGTGATCTGGGTAGGAATGGCGGAGGGAGCTTCCTCCTTCCAAGAATATTCCTGTTCTCATCGCCCCACCTCTACTTCCTGTCTGCTTGACCTCCCTATACTTCCTGCCTGGCCAATCAGCGTTTATTAAAATACATGATTGACAGAATACAGACAATTCTCCCACACCAATCCTTCTGTATCTTATGATCTCTAGTCCAGGCGATCTCTCAAGAGCTCCTGTGAGCTTCATCAGTAGTTCTGAAACTTGGCACATTAGGGTAACCCAGGGAATTTCTTTTCATCTCCATTGTACACAACCTATTAATTAAATCAGAGTATATAAACCCAGATGTAATCAATTCTTTATAACTTCTTGAGTGATTAGAATGGACCTCTAAGTTTGTGAGCCTGACCCAGAAGCCAATGAGTCCCACTGAGACTAGCCCCTTGTAGGGTCTGACTCCTGTAGCCCCCAAGCGTGTCTCCTCCCATGATACTATATTCTAAAGACCAGGGTACCCAAGTTCTGGATAACCTTCCCACTGAGCCAAGTACTTCGAGTTCATCCTAAACAACCTACAGGGGACTCAGAAATGCTAGATGGTGGTAGAAAAGATATCTGAAGAGCGATTCTTCAGTAGTCGCATTCAGCATCTTGTCCCTCTCTGAAGTTACCATCAATATTATTCATATCGCAACTTCAGACAGCCACATTGTATCTTCATAAAGGGTGAACATCATTTATCTACTACTGGGAGAGTCCTATCCTGAGACATAGAGCCAGTGGTGAGCTACTAAAGGAAGGTGCTTGAAGAATACAAACCTTGTCTCTATCAAGCTTTCAAATTGATGGCATAAAAGAAATCGAGGTTAACCAGACATCTTTCCTTAATAGTCAAAAAAAATCACTTTCAAAGCATTTTTTTAATAATGGAGGATAGAACACCAACTTGCTGGAGTGCTGGAGAGTGTCTGTGGCTGCCTTGCACAGCCAGGTTGAGTGTTGGATGGATGAGACTTAAGCTTTGAACCCATTTCATCTTGTTGGGATTCACAAGTGCACCCTAATATGTGATTAGTAGTTCAGGGTGGGCCAAGCCTCTGAGAGTTTCTCCTGACCACTTAAAGAAAGTAATCCATTCATCCCAAAATGCTTCACTTAGACAGAATGCCAAGACAGACACTCAGCCCTTTGGACTTACATTTAAGTCATGAAAGACACTAGCAAATGACCCAGACTAAAACAGAAATTCCAAAGTCAACAAATTCTCGTGTTTAAAAAAAAAATGATCTAAAGAGTAGCATAAAGCTGAGGGAGGTCATGAATTAAAAAAATAGAAGACAGGAAAAAATGAATTATCCAGCCACCCCAGCTACCAGCTTCTGTGTGTCCTTCAGCCCTTCTCACAGTGGAAGAAGTGTCCATCCTACCATGGACCATAAACTTAGATCCTTCCTCTCTGCCAGTGATCCTCTCTCACGGCCAAACTTCCCCCAAATTCCTGCTTCTCAGGAGCTTCATCACCCACAGCTTCTCCAAACTTAATGACAAAACGAAAGCCAAGTGTTCTAACTCAGCTCCATCCCATGAGCTTTTAGTTCCTGCTCTGTGTTTTCACCCCACACATCTGTCCATCTGCCCACCTTCCGTGTCCTCAACAGCCCACTCATCCCTGCCCTCCAGCACCACTTCTCCACGTAACCACTGCCGCAAAGATAAGCAGCAGATTCTCATACAAAACCCAAGGAACCTTTCTCCATCTTATATAACCAGCATCTTGTATTGGAACCCTGACGCCATTCTTCATCTCCTCATCCTCCCCCTCCCCGTCTATTGCTCCTTTCTCTTTCCTTTGACTCATCTTGCCCCTTGATCAACTTTAATACATTGACTCTCTAGAGGTGTCTGTCCACTTCCCAAATCAAGCCCTCTTGGTAGATGAATTCCCATGAATTCTGTGATAACTTGGTGCTGAAAACATAAAAACTTAGAAAACAATTTTTTTCAGAACTTTAAGTCTGAATATCCAACTACAAATGCAATATCACCAAAGGATTTTTAGATATCTCAAGTTTCAACACGGGATGCTTCTTTCCCCTAGCCTGGTCCTCTGTAATATTCTACCTCGGTAAACAGGACTACCATGTAAGTGTCTTCTCAAGTTAGAAAAGCAAGCATCTTCCTCAATCCTTGTCTTCGATCTTTCTTCTTTCTGTGTCTCGGAATACCAAGCCCCAATTATTCTATCTAATAAACAGGATTTTCAGCATATCACTGCTTCTTATTTTTCTGCCAACATCGAGTCTGTGTTCTGTCTTTCACAACCTGTCCCTATCCTCCCAGCTTTCAGGCGCAGACCCCTCCAAACCATTCCCTCCATTACCACTGGCTGATGTTTCTGAAGTGGAGTATTGACCTTCCCCTACAAACACACCCCAAATCCTTCATACATCTGCCACCCAGTGCCTCAGTACAGAGGTTTCCAACAACTATTTATAAAAGACTCTAAAAGGCAAATTTATGAGTTTGTCTCAAGTCGTTTTTTTTTTTTGCTTTGATTTGTTCCATTAAGTTGATTTGTTTCTATTTTATAGTTGCGAGATAACAAGTCTTTTACTAAGCATGTTGGGAAGTTGGTGGCCAATATTATGTAAGAGGAGCTTTGTGAAGGGAAGGGCCATGACTCTTGTGACTGTGCCAAAGAAAGTCAGCCATAAACTCTGTAAGAAGCAGCACGAATGTTGTGTGATAAGAGAAAGTTCCAAGACCTAGAAGAACCCTCTCATACCTCACAAGTAGAAGTCAGACTGAACTCTATCTTCAACTCTATCTTCAGACCTCAGATGGCAGTGAAACACAGACGCAATGTCTCCAGATTGTACCTGCTAACATCTGGTGGCTGGAAGGCAAAGCCTCCAGATAGTCTCCGTGACTCTCAGCAGAGCACAGTTCAGACATTCCCAGACAACTACAAACAGAGGGCTGTAACTCAGAGACACGTGATCTCGGCCTCAACTCAGAAGCAAGTTATTCGTCAAAGGTTTCCAAAAGCTGTGTGCATGTGTATGTGCACGCCAGTGTGTGCCTGCATGCATGCATGGTTGATTGAGGGCTAAAATGGTTGCTTATATTCCTTACGTGCACAGTTTGCATCCTGACTCTCCCTGCTGCAGTGGGAGCATCACTCCACCGTCTACTTGCCACTCATTCTTTCATGCAAAACGCACTGAGCGCAGGCTTCCCTTTATTTAGCTCCCAGTTTACGTTACAGCTAAGCTTCACATTTGCTCGGCAACTGTCTTCTCATCCTTACAGATGAAGAAACCAAGGTCCCAAAAGACCGAAGTCCTTGTGACCGTAAGGAGGAGAAGCAGAACCTGGGCCACTCCATTCTGAAAAGAGCCCTCTTTCCCTGCCACCTTCTCCACGCTAAACCATTGCATCACCAGTCCTGTTTAGTAAGAAGAAAACCGTGGGCGAGAAAGTGGCTGCTTTACGATAACCCACCCTGGTGAAAATGATTCAATGGTTATTTTTGAGGTGTCAGAGCTGAAAATGTACAGATTTCACAGGCCGAAGAACCTGCCAAGTCCTGATTGCACAACCAAAGCCCTGCGAGGAGCCCGGGAGGCCGACTGTGTGTTGGAAAAACCACAAATGTCATCTGGGAATGCTCAGAGCCCTTTTTGGATGGAGACAGTCTTGCTTCCGCCGGAACCACCGCCTTATAAGACCAAACTAAGCTGCTTCCTCGGCTGAATCTACCCAACACATACTGCCTGTTCCCTTAGATCACTGAGATCCTACTGGCTGAGCATCATGGAAGGAATGCCACTGCTGGGCGGCGTGCTTAGTCCCCAGCCTGCGCTGCCTCACTGACACCCACCTCGTAATGAAGTTGCTATGAGTCTTTCAAAGGGGACATGGGGGAGGCAAGACACTGGGGTCACTAGGAGAGATATTTAGGTCCCCCTGGGAAATTAGTCACACATCAAATCCCTTCCTCTCCATTTACAGCCATTTATTTGGGAGCAGAGAGCTCTGAATGAATGGGAAGCAAAGCCCTTTCCAGCCCGACATGTGTTCTGAAGTTCACAGGAAGGTTTCTCCTCCTTTGCTTTGGGGCGCACAGGCTGCCTGTTCTGCACAGCTGGGCCTGCAGTGAGCTAATCAGACTGTAAATGCTCACAGTGAGGAGGGAGGGCTCCAGGGAGCAAAATCAGCCATTTTTTGGCCTAGCTTCATCAGGCTTAGTGTCATTACACCAAAACGTTAGGAGTATAAAAGGGACTTAGATGCCTCCAAGAGGGCTGATTCCGAGAACTCGCATCAAGCCGTGGTTAAGAAAGGTCCTGCAAGGAAAAGGTCCTGCACAGTTGAACACGCTTCAGAAAGGGAACGGTCACACTCTTGCCAAGTTACTTCCCTCACGGATATTGATTACTCTCTGCAGAATATGGAAAATATTTGTCTCAGCTGTTATTTCAACCACTCTCATTTTCAACTATGAGAGGAGTAGGGCTGCCATAAAGCATGTGTTCCAGACTTTCTCCCCAAGGTAAATACTGATGGATATTGCAATTCTTAGGAAGGGTGTGCCAATTTCTCTAAGAATCCCACCGATCTGAGAGGAAGGAGACTGCAAACGCTCTGTGGAAAGTCACTAACGGAACTCTCATGGATGACCTAATAGAAAGACTCCAGATAAGGACGAGCTATCAGCCTCTGTAAATAGAACACAAGGGGGTGGAGAGGGGGGCGCAATGGGCCAGTGGGTAATCTACACACTAACACAGGCTTCCAAGAAGGAGTAGACCTTTAGCTTTTCTGAGTACTTAACTAATGAGCTGGTTCACACCTAACCCTATGGATTATAAGCTTGTATCCTCTGGACACAGAGAGAGCCCAGGGTAGCAGGCTGACATTCCATTCCAAGACGGAGAGTTTGCTTTGAGATATGTTTGAGGGACAAGGAAAAATGGGGATCCACTGTGTCTGGGATAGCTGTGAGGAGAAAGGGT